GAGAGGGAAATCATAGGTTTCGATTGAGGTTCAAGTAAATATTGATTCAACTAGGTTTTTGCAATATAAGCACTCGTAAATGTATAAGGAAAAGAGAAATAGAGGAAGTATGGGTAGGAATGGCAACGAGCCATCCCCGCCTTCGCCCCACTCCTAAACATTTTACCTCATCCTCACCCTATATCCCATGCGAGGTAATATTTCTAATACAATCCCCGCCCTAAATGGGGATGGGGATCCCCATAAGGCATCAATGCCTCATTTAATTTTTTTATTTTTTTCCTATCTTGTCCCATTTTACTATCAAATTTTAAACTATATCAAAAAAATGATAGATCATATAGAAAATAAACCCTAAGAGTTAGTAATCATAAATTTTATATAGGATATAACTATAATTTCAGGAATGGAGTGGGACAAATGGGGCAAGGTGGGCAAATACTATCCCTACCCCATCCCCGTTCAAAATAAATACAATACGGGGTGTCCCATCTCGTTTCCTAGTTAACTCGGATAATCTTCGAGTTGACCGAGGTAGGGTGGGGCAAGGCTTCATCGAGATGGGGTTGGGACGAGGAGAAGGAGAAGAAAGGGAAAAGAGGCCAATGAAAGAAAAGAAAAAGAAATAGGGCTTGGGTTTTTGGGCTAGTTAGGATGGGTCGATTCTAGACATGAGAGAGTTCGATCTAAAAAGAAAAGAGGGGGTCATAGGTCGTTAGCTTGGTTAGTTTTTAGGCTAGGTTTGGGCTATCCCGTGGAGTGAAATGTGCTGGAAAGGTTTAGATTGAACTTGAGCTAGGCTAGTTTAGTTGAGTCCGGGCCGAGAGAGAAAGAGACACACGGGGCCGGGAGCCTAATGACCTTTTAAATATCTTTAGGATTTATTTTAATGAGGTTATCTTGCCTATTTTGACCTAAAATTTTTATAGGTGTTATATATGATTATCTTTAGCTTATGTTTAAAACTTCAAAAATTTCAAAACTCATTTACTATTTATTTTGAATTTACTTAATTTTATGCCTAGTTGCTAACTCGCTTTAATTGTCTAACATTTCAATTTAGCTTATTGTTTAAATTTATTTTAATATGAGATTTTTAGAATATGATTTTATGCTTGTATATAAGTTATGTGACAAGATTCTTAATTTTGGTGAGTTAATTTTGCATTTATTACTAAAAAAACTAAAAGAACTGAACATGTGATTGTTCATTTACTATAGCCACTAACTCGTTGACACTATTCATAGAAGCTCGATTTTTGTGTAATTTTTGCTTCTTCTTTATTCTTTTTCCTCTTCTTTCTCCTCTATTATTTCTTCTTCTTCTTCTTTTCTCCTTCTCTTTCCCATTTCTTCCATTTCTCTCTCTCTCTCTCTCTTTCTCTTCTATTAATTCTATTTCTTTTTCTCTCTCTTTCATTTCTCCTTTATTTTTCTTTCTCTTCTCAACGTCTAAGTGTTTATGATTATATTTTTGCAATGGGTTTTGATAGCATGTCTTTCAAACCCATTAGCTGGAATCACATTTATATCTTTTTAGTTTCTTGGCGAAGCTACTATAGATATGGAGAGAATTGAATGACTGCTGCTAGACCGAGCAACCGAGAGTAAAGAAAAGTGAGAGAGAAAAGGGAAAAACAGCTTAAAATATTTGGTATAAATTTTTTTTGTTTGGGTCCAAATTACTAGTGGGAGTGGAGATTGCATTTAGGTTTACGAGTAGAGAAAGGTTCAAGTTTTGGAGAGAGAAGCTAGTGGTGGTGGTGAGGATCGGGAGAGTCATTTAGGGATGGAATTTAATTTAGTAATGAGAAGCTTTTTAGTTATTCAAATTTTTTCACTTTATTTTTGTCAATTCACGTGCCTAAGATTGTATACCCAAATGGCATGATAACATGACTCTCACCTACAAATAAAATAGCCCAAGACTGGTAACAAAAAATGAAGAATTAATTACCGATAAAAAATATAATAAAATAAAATTGAGACTCAAATCCAAAAAATTAAAAATGGATATATCTTTTTTTGATTAAAATTTTAGGATACTATAAAACCAATTAACCTAAAAATAATATAAAAATGGTTTTAATGTCTTTTTGGTGCCTCTAAAGGCTTTGGAGAAGCACCCTTAGCATATAGCTTAAAACACATTACCGAAAAGAAAATAACTAGCACAATAAAAAGATTTCTATGTTATTATAAAGAAAGATAAAAAAAAATAAAAAATTTTAATAGTAATTACTCGTTTATTTATTGTAGCTGTAGACTCATCCGCATTATGGATGGCCTTTTATGGGCAATAATATAGAAATTATAAAAAATTTTATATTTTGGTTCCCGATATTTTTTAATATTTTATTTCGATTTATATTTTTATTTACTAATACATTTTGATTCGTGGATGCGAAAGGAGGGAGGAAAGAAGAGAGCGATAGAAAGAGACGAAGAGAGAGACAATGCTAATCGAATCTTATTTAGGCTACTTTGGTCGATGGAACTCCATTAGGTTTTTTTATCTCTAAGAGATAAGTTTTTTCATGGTGGTTTCAAGCTATTAAATAATTAGATGAGGTAGATCGGTGCTAAAAAAAAGAAAAAAATCCGATTTGATTATGTTTTTTTTTAATGTACATTAAAATGATTTTTAAGATTTTAAAAATATTTATTAACTTTATTTCAGTCATTTAGAGGTGTTTAGGAAAAAAATAATGTAAGAATTGAGTTTCTTGGGATCCGAAACTTGATCTCGTGATTTTTCGACGAGTTTGACTTCATCGGACGTTGCGGGTTTTTCTTTTTTGAGGTAGATAGCAGTCCAAGCCTATAGAAGCAAGCCCAAGCATGCTAGGCTGGTCTAGCCACACGAGCTCGACCAACTAGGTCTAATCAAGTTGAACTAGCCTAACGTGTAGGCCTACAACGGTAGCCTAAGCTCGCAAGCTTGGCTTTTTGTCTCTTTTTCTTTTGATAATTTATTTTTATATTTTTTATCATGAAATTAGATGTGAAAAATATAGAAAATAATTTTTTTAATTTTATGTACAATTTGATGGTGATAGAATATATATGATATTTTTTAAGATTTTAGTTTGAACGTATATATATGATTATATTACTCTTATCGTTTCAAATTTATTTCTTCAATTATTTGTTTCTTATTAAAATTCTCATCAAATTCATTTTTTAATTTTTTGGTATAATTTTATTTGTTAATAAATTTAGTTTTTTTGTATATAGATTTTTGATATATATATATATATATATATATATATATATATATATATATCTGCGTGTGTGTGTGTGTGTGTGTAATAGGAGGGAGGGATGGACCTAAAAGCGTGTTTTAAATAATTTGAGTTAATTTTTAATTAATAATCAGCTGACAAGGAATTCACAGGTTTTATTTACTTTTATATATATATAATCAAAATTTTTCATAATCAATTTTATAGTAATTTTTATTTACTATATTTAATCTATTCACTTTGATATATTCCATACAATTTTTGTACTCTTTTTTGTATAATTTTTTTATTATTTCTATATATTTTTAATCTACCAAGTGTGATCATAACATGTATGTGTATATATAATTTTTTTTGAAATTAATTATATGCATGTACACATAACATCAATTATTTATTTTTTATTTTTTTATGTTCTAAAATTTATATTTTTAAATAAAATAATTTAAATAATTTTTTGAAAGAACCTCCTAATTATTCAAATACAAATTTTTATGCTAATATTTTAAATTATTTTATTAATAAATATATATAAATTACATGATTTCACTCAATATATAGATTCGATTTACATCAATCACTAGAAAAAAAACTTCTACTTGTACCACACTATACGAATCGTTAACGTTATGTATGTAACGATTATTTGAGCGTAGCGTGGTGCATGTATCTAACTAGTTTAGTACTAGAAATGATTTTATGGTCTATTTATTTAGTAATTACAATTTATTATCACTTAGTTAGTTAATGTGATGACTTATCGTCGAGTCTCATAGATTCTAGGGATCAATAGCAATCCTCCATCAAATTCATAACACTAAAAAATATTGTCAAAAAAAGAAGATAAAATAAACAAAAAAAAGGGGTCTTAAGTTAATTTAATGAGTTTCCTATTTAATAGGAATGGACGTTATTTTTGACATCAATGAAAATGCATCACCCTTAATAATTAGGTTATTTGATTTTTAGCATACCACTTATATCAAGACTTTTAATTAGATCCGATGTTAAATTATTAAGACTCTTGATATCAAAGTTTGACGATAATTCAATATGATGCCACAATTAAAAAAAAAGGATTAGATAGACAAACATGAAAATAAACTTAAAAATAATTTAGTAAAATAAATTATTAAGAGATATATTTTAGGATTAAATTAGATGTGGTACATTTCATTGAAAAGTGTATTTAGGATGATCGATGTTAGCACCTAATTTTTACTCCTATTTTATTTTTTATTTTTTATAGCAAAAAAAATGAAAAAAAATGCCAAGTGTTTAAAAATAAAATATATAAAAAAATCAAATGAAACAATTAATTTAGATTAATTCTTGGAAGAAGGCTAATTAATTAAAAAAATAGATAATTGAGGGCCAAATTAAAAAAAAAAACTTCAAGACTTCAATTCCTTATTTAAAGGAAAAATGGGCACAATTGGAACAAATTAAAAAAAAAAAAAAAGCTCTAATGAATTGAAATTTAAAGGCCCCATTGAAAAAAAAAAACTAAAATCAAACTCAAATTGGTAGATTACAAAAAATCAAGGACCAAATTAGATTTTTGCTAAAAACCTAGAATATACCTATAAAAGCCTTGCATTTTTTAAGTATAAGGGGCTATTCCTTCACCACCTTAACGAGATCCAACTGCCCTCTCTCTCTACCGAAACTAAAAGCTCCCATCATCCTTTACCTCACCCGAAGCTCCTCCATGCAGACCCCTTCCCCTTTTCTTCATAAACCACCACAACCCCTTTATCGCCTCCTCCTCACAAGCTTCTCACACCTCAAGCATCCCATTTGCCAATAAAACAAACCGAAAGCTTGTTGCCAAGTTCCTCCTCGATCACGCGACCCTCGTGCCAAACTCCTCCTCGCACGCAACGACCCCTTATTGCCAAGTTTCTCCTTGTGCGTATACGCCTCCCGTAAGCTCCCCCTCACACTTATGACCCTCGTGCCTCCGAGCTCCCCCTCCATTGCCCCAACCAACCGCCTCGAGCTCCATGGTTCACGCTAGGCCTCCAGCTACATATAACATGCCTCTCTTTTATGCAACAGGCTTTCTAGATTGCCTATCACACTCGCAAACCCCGACCACCCGTAAGTTTCCTCACACACATGTCATAAAGGATCATAAATCTTATAGATGTGCAGAATAAAAAATAAAATTTCCTCTATCTAAAGGATCCAATATCATACAATTGAATCATCTAACCATATATTCATGAATTATAGCTTTAAATAAAGAATTACCTCTTATAGCACATATTCAAACATTTATAGAAAAGAGTCATCCAAGTGTTCGACTTCTATCGATAATCCATATAGTCCAAACACCCACAAAAGAAACCCTCAAAATTGGTAAAGGGTTAGCTCCATCTTTTTGAACTTTGTTTAGTGTTTTTCTTTGAGAAGTCAAACAAAAAAAACTTTGTGACAACCCAAAGGAACGAGTAAAGTGGCGTGCGCTATGGTTCTTTTAGAAGAAAACTATTTTCTTCTTTTATTTTTCTTAATATCATGTGCCTTAACTTTATTTTCTTTTTTGTCATTTTCGTTCTTCTAAAAACCTTAGTGTTTACCGCACCTCTCCCCCATATATATAGGGAAGGCTTCCTTGTCCTCTAAGGATAAGGAGGGACAACAACTAGTCCTAATTGGACTATTGGTTATTGCCTTCTTATCCTCTAACGATTGGGAGTTATTTTGCATGTGGGTTTTTTTATCATTATCTTTAAAACATTTATCCTTATCAAATAAGGTCCATGTTTATCTTTCCTCCAAAATATCTTTCGGGCTTTTAATTAAACCTATCAATCCAAAGCTATTTTAACCCTATTAATTATTTTGGACTATCTAAAAAAATTAAGTTAGATAATTTTAGGAGGCCTATATTAGAAAATAATTTTTCAAAATACCCTTAAACCTAAATTAGGAAACTGATTTTAATTTTTAGGTTATTTATTTTTAAATTTGGAACTAACTTCCAAATTAGGAAATTGATTTCTATAATAGGAAACTTTCATTTTAGAAAACTTCCATTTTAGGAAACATTTCATTTATGAAAAATTTTCATTTTTTAAAATATTTTTTGAAATAGGAAACTTTCAAAATTAAAAACCTTTTCTAACTTTTTTGTTTCTCTTTAATCATGTGGATGCTTAAACTTATGTGTGTGACTCAATAGGCTCCTAGATATGTTGACAATGTATCAATAATAAAAGACAATCTTTTATCTCTTGATACATAAATTAAGATTGACATCTAGTAAGACATCATGACCATTCAATTCTCTAGAAGGATTAATCAATCTATAATTACCTTTCACGAGCATGATTATCATACAATTCAATTCTCATGTCAATGTATCACGGTGTAATCTCGAACTTGGTTATTAGTCTTGTTCGATTATGATCACATAAGTTTTCTTCAATTCTCAAATTCTTAGATCTTAGAGTAAACCAACTATGCTCTATTAGTGTACTCCTACTATGGCTATAGATTTCTTGAGCGAGATATTCATCAAAGTATAATATGATAACTCCTTTAGCATACAAGAAATGACATGTCCTATCTTAGTTATCCACCTACCTCCATTATATTCTTAGTGCACCCAATGAATTTCCCATGTGGAACCCTTTATTGGGTCTATCGAAACAAGTGTCAAAGTACATAAATCCTCCAATGAGATAACCGTGATGACTTTAAGTCTAAAGACTAGTTGTACGTATCTTGTATGAGATTTTCATAGACTAAACCAAATGGGTTCTCATGGTGAGTCAAGTCCAGTGACATGTTCTCTAATATAAATCACCTAAGTACTTGCTTTGGCATCATCATGCTAATAGTTGTGAGATCTCCTATTGCTATCATATAGCATGAACATAGCACTCACAAGTCTAACCGCATCTTGTCAATATCCATTCTTGACAATGATACAACTTGGGACATTTAATGATATTATTTATGTGCATCGATATTTGTCTCACATCTTTCGATCAACCACCAATACAAATGCATATCATAAGGACTTTTATCTAATTCTACTAAATAAATAAACATAAAATATAAGAGCTAATAGAAAGACTTCTTTATTATTAATAAAATAAATGATAAAATAATATAATAAGTCAAAGCTATCCAAACATGGTTGAATCTTGAGCACTTACACTAACATGTCGGGCTTTTAGCCGTACGCAATAGCCCACTCCTTTTCGAACACATGTCCGTGTGCATTCCTAGTGTGTAGCAACCCTTCGTGTATCTAGCTGCACCCCACGTTCGAGTAAGTAACCCTTACACAAGAACCCCTCGCGTGCCTAGCCGTACCCCACATCCTAGCAAGCGACTCGTCAATTAACCCTCGTGCGGCAACACTCGGCACATCTAACTCTATCTCACACCCACGTAACGGCTACGCTATACTACCACATAGTCTCCATACAATACCAACAAGCTAGCCAAAGTTTAGCGATTACCCATAGCTTCGTCCCTCATTAGTCACATAAAAAAGAGAAAGAACACTTAAAAAAAATTTTGCTATTGGATTATGTTTGGCGGTAATAACATGATATTATACATCGTATTTATATTAATTTTTGATAGAAAAAACATAGCAACAACTTTGTTTCCAAGCCTTTCAATTACAAGGATTTTATAAATTTACGATAACTTTGGCAACAAGAGTGACCTTAGCCACTTACATGGATTTTGGAAAGGTTTTCGATCGCTTTGGTGAGATCCATACCATATTTTAGCAACAACTAGTTGCTTTCCTTCCTCGACTAGCTGAATAATCAGTTATTATTAAGGATAAAAAGACTAAAACCGACTTCGAATCGGACATCTAAACTACATAACATTTTTGGTAAAAAAACTATAAGACCACTACACTCCTTAAAATGGGAATAAAAAGTGGTTGAACTACTTAAAAAATATGAATAAAATTATCATATTTCGTTTAAATACTTATAGGTTTTAAGCAAATATTTCTATAATCGTCATTAAGGATAAACTATCATGTTTTCCTATTTTACACATATGTGCTTAAATACAAACTTTATACTTGTTTTGTGGTTTGATTGACTTATCGTGTTTGATTGCAATGCTGAAATGAATCGTTGATGACTTTTTACTTATGTGATGAAGTCGATAGCAGTTTTAGAATAATTTTACCTATTTTTTATTTTATTAAAATGAAGCTATCGATGACTTTCCACTTATGTAACAAATTTATCGGTGGTTTTAGAGCAATTTTACCTATTTCATGTTTTCTCAAAAAAAGTTATCGGTGGCTTTCCACTTATGTGACGAAGCCATTGGTGGTTTCAAAATAATTTTACTTATTTCCTGCTTTATCAAAATAAAACAATCAATGACTTCTCACTTATGTGATGAAGTCGTCAATGGTTTCTAAACCAATTATTTGCTCCTTACTCAAAGCAAAATCGAAGTTGTCAATAACTTTCACTTGTGTACCAAAGTTATTGGTAGCTTCTTAAATTTATGACTTGAAGTTGTCGGTGGCTTCCCACTTTTGTGAGTGAAGTTATCGATGACTCATTGCTTATATTAATAAAAGGCTATCTATCTTTACAAACCGACATACTTATTGGTAATAGGTCGTGTTCACTAAAAAACTAGTCAAAATTCCAACTTCCCTCATGTTTTCTTTTTTAGATATGAGGTATTGGTCTTAGATCGACTCGAACCTCCAAAGTACTCGGTTTTATGTCCAAACACTCAAACTATCCTATTTTCAAATTTTGATAAAATAAACTCATTTAAATATCTATAGAAGCATAACATAGTAAAAACCAAAATTTTTATGTTCATAGGCAAAAATGCAGCCTACCTTAGGTAGGACATGATGGTGGTGATGTCATATCTTCTCTATACATAACCAACTCCTTACCTAGATATTTATGTAAACCGGTATGTTTAGGGTTTCTTAGTTCCGCATGATTAGCTTGGTGGTAACTCCTTGCTCGTGTGTCTCGCGAGGCCGATGTCAATAATTAATATCTTTTCAAAAGTATAACCAATTTTTTACTCACAATCTTTAAATCAAGTTTTCTTTTTAGGTTTCCTAGTTCTTTTAATATTAGGCAACAACTCAAATATGTTGGTTAACTCTCATCTTCAAACAATAATCAAAATCCAAATAAATAATCATTTTTTTTTTGGAAGTCTTCTAAATACCGAGCAATGATAATGCTCCTAATTGAAATGTAAAATAAAATAAAATAAAATTCTAAGTATTTAAAAAATAAAATATGCGAGTCATGTAACTTGAAGTGTTTTTTTTTTAACATTTTAGTGAAGAACATTTTGGTAAAAAAAAAAAATGCATGATTGAAAATTTTGATTAGAAGGACAAATCGAATATTAAAAAAAAATTAAAGAAAGATGGGATGCAATTGAAAATTTAGAAATAAATAAAATATTTTGAGTATTGTATAAAAATAGATTGATTTATTAACTCTAAAAAATGTTAACACTAATATTTTAAATTTAAAGTGTTACTTCATATATCTTTTCAAGTGTCATTTCCAAGTTGATCATTTTTGCTCGGTTTTTGGATGGTATTGGTAAAGGAGGTGATGCTAGTTATAATAATGATGATAGTAACGTATAGGTGACTAGGTTTCAGTAATAATGATGTTGATTTGAGTAATGGTAATGGTGGTGTGAAAGTGATTATAATAATGTACTGGTGATATTAATTATGGGGGTTGATTATAGTTAATTAATATGGCAATGGTGACGAGTTAAATAATGATGGAAGTAATGGAGATAAAGTGATAATAAAAATCTTAATTATTTTAATAACAAAATGAGGATTGTGTATTAGTAAAACTAAGGCGATTGAAGTATACTAATAGTAGTGCTTTTTTGTTGTGGTGGTGGAGAAAGAGATAGAACGTTGATTCATTGTTTGCCTCTAGTTATTTGCATATTTGTTGTTGGAAAAAAAA